ATGCAATAAGAGATGCAGTATTTTGGCTAGAGGAATAAAATCAATAGAAAAAAATGTAAAATTACCCCGAGACTTAATAGGTTTACAAGGTCAAACATTAAGAGATCCCACAATGACTAGACAGATGTAATATGGATACAAGGTATATGACAGTGTTTTTACTGTTATATAACATACTATTTTACACTAACTTTTTAAAAGAAATACATATAGCCTTTATTACCAACATCAGGTAGTATTTATTATACATAACTGTGGGTGTCATACTTTTTAAGACTGCAGTGCAATAGTTTTTTTTTTTTTTTTTTTTTTTTTTTTTTTTTTTTTATAGCTGCATTGCCACAAATACCTGAGTGATGTTGTGCTGGAATATTACAAGGCTACATACTATACCATATGAATTTTTCAGTTCCATTATAATGGTGTGGGGTTACCATTTTAAACTTGCATCATCATGAACTGAAATGTAATTATGAAGAGCACAGGAATACAACACGAGAAATCTGAAAACCAGTTTATCTCAAAAACCAAGTAATTTACAGAAATGATTCACAAAGATGATGTGGGATAAAAAACAGAAGCTAAATGATATTGAAAATACTCTGTTTTACAGAGATAGACATAAATGGATGTCTTTTTCAGTGTTAGTTTGCTTAAACCTCCTTGCTTCTTAATTTACCCTGGTTGCTAAAATCTTTTTCCTGACCTTAAATAAATTGATCCTTTTTTTGTGTGTTATGCAGCTGATTTGAACAATCTGGTGTTTGTGTACATTTCCAGGCTAATCTTCTAGCTTTTTTCACTCTACTCATTCTTCTTTTTGACTGTTTAGGAGTTTCTGCTTCTCCTGTTCACTTCTGACTCTGATTGTCTTGGTTACTTTTCTTTCATTGCTGGGACAAAATACCCTTAAAGTAGTAAAAGTTTATTTAGCTCACAGCTTGTGGAGGTTTCAGTCTATAATAAGCTGGCTCTAAAGCAAGGTGGCATGACTGAGGGGTAGCAACAGAAGACAGCAAAAGGACAAGAACAAAAAAAGGGGGACAACAAGCCTCTTCTTCTCCCTTACATTTTTTTTTATTGAAGGAGAAAAAGGAAAAAAAAAAAAACAGAAAAGGGGTACAAGTTATACAGAATTTCAGAAAAAAAATAAACAGTAGGAAATCACTAGTTAATGGATTACATATTGTCATCTTAGAAATATTTGTTCAAGTTACAAAATTAAAGCATATAAAGTGGACATTCCAACAGTGAGACTGCAAACAGTTCTGTTCAATGATCCAACAAAACTCAGCAATATCATTGGTCTATCTTACAGACTTAAATATGCATGCAGTTATACCATTTAGAGCACTTTCATTTCCTCTCTTTTGTATAATGACTATTACACATTTTGGGTTTTATTGCTCCCACAGTTATTACTTTTTTTGGAAGAGAGTAAGACCAAATGGGACTTAACAGAACAGAATCGGTTAAATCAAAAGGGTGGACATAATAGATAATGTAAAAACATAATACAAGGTGATCAACAATGGTTACCATAATGCCTCCTGCTATCTCAAATAGAATTGCCTGTATCATCAGTTATAATAAAATTGAACAAAACAGTAAAGAATGAAACCAACAAAACCAAAACACTGGAGACATCTACTATCTTCACAGCTGTTGCCTAAACTTTCGAACCTGGTACTATCAAGCAAAGCAGAACAGAGGAACATCAGTCAAAACAAGATGGTGAGAACAATACAGGGCTTCAAATCAAGTTAATAGAAAATCGAAGTGGGTTACTATAATATATCCTGCTATTTTTTATTTATTTTTCCCTTTATTAAAAGGATAAAAATAAAAAGTAAATAATAAAATGGAGATTGAGATAAAAGGGCATAACAACTAAACAGTGCAGATCAAAACATAACCATTTAAGCAAATTAGTGTTTTACCACAAGATAATCCCGACATAAAAGTAGTTACCATATTGTCTCTTTCCTTGAAATCTTTGAGTATAACTTTGTATACTGTAGCATCAGATATATCAAAACAATGTAAAAGCATTCAAGAGAATGACAGTATTACAGGGTATTTAGAACCAACTATCAGAAAATAAACAATGGTTTCTGTATAATCTCCTTGTCTATAAAAGTTTTTGCTTATATTATCACATATAATAAAATCCAATAAGATACAACCTGTTAAGACCGATGGAGACAGAAGAACAAAAGCTTGGTGGGACTTCAAAATAAGATGATACCAAATCAGCACTACCTACTATGACGTTGTTTTCTCCAAAATAGCTGTTCCTATCATCCAATCTTCTCTGCCTCATTTCTCTTGAGCTCTTTTTTCTGTCATTAGTCATCAGTTTGTCTTCTTCATTTTGTTTTCTGCTCCATTCATTGTGGCCTCTCTGCAACTATTTCTGAATTCTTTGTATTTTTCTTTTTTAGAATATCCTGCAGTATTCTCTGTAGAGTTGAATTGGTGGTTGCATATTCCCCTAGTTCCTCTTTATCCTGAAAGCACCTTGTTTTTTCATCAATTTCCAGGGACAGTTGTGCAGGATATCTAAATCTTGGCTGGAGGTTATTATCTTTCAAAGCTTGAATTATTTCCCCCCATGCTCTTCATGATTTGATAGTTTGTGCTGAGAAGTCTGCTGTAATTCTGATGGGTGTTCCCTTGTAAGTGATCTGTTTCTTGTCTCTGACAGCTTTTAATATTCTGTTCTTATATTGGATTTCTGGTATTTTGATTATTATATGCCTGGGTGTGGCTCTGTTTGGGTTCTAGGTGGCTGGGGTCCTGTATGCTTCATACATCTGAGTATCTTTACCTCTTGCTAAATTAGGAAAATTGTCCTGGATTATTTCTGCGAGTAGCTTTTGTAGTTCATTTGTTTGTGTCCCTACGTCTTCTTTTATGTTCTTAATTCTTAAGTTATAGATCTTCCTATCATCTTCTAGACTTTGTATTGCTGCTGTTTTTTTTTTTTTTTTTTTTTTTTTTTGTCTTTTTCCTTTTTATCAGTACCAGGGATCGAACTCATGACTGCCTGCTTACAAGGCAGGCACTTATGCCGCTGAGCTAAATCCCCATCCCCATTTGCTCTTTGTTCCTTTGTTATTTTTAAGAAGTTTTTCATTTCATGCTCCCATATTACAAATCTGTCCTCCAGTTCAGATAATCTATCCTTAGTTTCTTTCAAGCTGTTATGCCGGTTTTCAATACAGTTTTTAGTTTCCTGGTAATCTCTTTGAACCTGCTTCATGTATTCTATGTTTTCTCTATTTTCTCCATCAAACAATTCTCCCCTCTTTTTCTGTTCTTCCATTCCACCATCTGTTTTTTCTTGGGTGGTGCTTAGCATTTTTCTAACTCTTCTGCTTATGTCTTGCCTCAGGTCATTAATAACTTCATTCCTGAACTCATTTATGAGGCTCTGGAGATAGCTTTATGTCTATTGGTGCCATGTCTGCTATTGTCTCTTTCTCAGGATTGGGGGCTGAGGACCCTTTCTTGTTGCTGCCTCTTCCCATATTCTTTGTTCCTTATATATGCAAGTGTATGTAGGAGCCCCAGCTTCCTGTCGCCCACAGTCTGATTGAATTGCGCTGGCTAGGTGTTCTGCCCACCGCAGCGCACCAGGGAGTTACGGACCGGGCAGCCTATGTGGAACTTGCTCCTCCAGGTCAACCTACCTAAGGTTTCACCACTAGGGTGCACCTCTAGGTGCTGGGACCTGGGTTGTGCTAGCCTACTGGGTCTCAGCCAGCAGCGTCACATAGGCTAGGCACTGCTCACCAAACCCGCTTGAGAGGGGGATATGTGACTGAAGTTACTACAGCGCCCTGTTCCGACTAGTCTGCCCGGCCCCAGAATGTCCTCTGTTGGAGCCTCCTAGGCCGTGGAAGAGTCCCAGTTTCCCTCACTCACCACAGGTCGATGCAGGGCTCCCCGCTCGTCTAGCTCTCAACTCCATTCACCGATTCCTGTTCTCAGAGCTTTTGAATGTCTCTCTCTCTCTGTCGAGCCAGTTCAGATGCAGCAGTGGTGGCAGGAAACCCAAATCGTAGCTTCCAATGGCATGGGCTCCCGCTTCCACGCTCAGGCTTTATCTGTTCCTGTTATAGCACCAGGATTGCATTTCCAGTTGGTATCTCTCAGCCCAGTTCGTTCTTGGGTCAGCAGGGTATATCTCCTCTTGGTTAGGATTCCCCACTCCGCACCATTCCTGGACTCTAAGCTGGGTCTCGCAGAGAGCCTGCGTAGCTGCTGCTATCTGTCTGCCATGTTCTCCCTTCTCCCTAACATTGTAAGCAGGTTAACCCTCCCTCACTTCAGGTGAGTGTAGCACTCACATCACCTCTGTGCCATTCTTTTGCACAGGATGAGGATGTTCACAAAGTGAGGATCCTTGCTCCCTTGAGTCACTTAGTTAAATTTCTAAACTTCGTGAGTTGACATAATGTAACAACCATTTCAATGATCATATTCTATCTCTGTATTAATTATTATTATTTGATATCTAACAAAGTTCTGTTCTTCTTCTTAGACTCATTTCTCATATTCCCTCTTCTGTGAGGTCCTGGTACCTTTCAAGTTTCCTCTTGCCTTCTCTGTTTGCATTATCTTACAATTATTAACTGAGTTTGTGTCTACCCAAGAGGGCTGGGCACTTCATGAGGGATAGGGCCATAGTTCATTCACTTTTGCATTTGTAGCACCTATCCCTGCTCTTCATGTAGAAAGCTCCTCATAGATATTTGTTTGGAATAGGACTGCTGCCTATTTTGGTTTGCTTTGCATCTTGCACAAAGACACTGAATGAAGGTCAGAACCCTAAGCTCCATCCTGTGGTGGTGCATAACTAAAGCAGCCCTAAAGAGGATTTGCATCTGCCTAGAAGGGGGCAATTGTGCAATTTCCAAGAAGGGTACTAAGTCCTGATGACTGACTTCATTGGAAGTACATATGAAAAAAAAAAAAAACAAAAAACAGATGTTGCCTGGTTTGGCAGCACATGTACTAAAATTGGAACAATATAGAGACTATTAGCATGGCCTCTGCACAAGGATGACATGCAAATTCGTGAAGCATTCCATATATTTGTGGGTAAACAGGAGAGGAAGTGAAACTCCCTCCAACTATAAGACCTTGGCAAATCTGATAAGATAGTGGGTAATCCCCTCCTCCATACAAAGAATATCAGACAGATTGAGGAGTGCACCAATAAGGCCTCTGACAATTTGGAGAAAATTAAATGAGCTTATGAGAGTCCCAGTGGCACAGTAGTGCCTCAACTGACACAAACACTATACACAGGTAGAGTTGGTGACCTGCAACAACCTGAAGACGTAGCAACAGCAGAAACTAAGAGTTGACCTACATCAATACTTCTAGGTTAGTTAGCCTAGAAATAATACAGGACTCATCCAACAGGCCCTGTAGGAGGAATTCATATGACTGGCCCTCTTCTACATTGTGGTACCCAGCAATTGGATAAACATCAACCACACAGTAGGACTCTAAAACTCACACTACAGAGAGTTGAGACAGTTGGGATTGAAAGACCAAATATTTTCCCAAAAGGTGAAAATGACAAAACAGAAAGGCAAAATGCAATCTTAGACATCTAGTCCATCAGGAGCAAGTACGGGTGACAAAGAAATAGAAGACTATAAAAGTCATACACCAAGAATCTCTGAAAAGATAGCAAATGAAGTAAAGAAATAAATCCATGAGGCTATAGAGAAAATTGAATTAGAAATAATGTTATATGTAAAGACAGAAATAACAACCTTAGTAAATAAGTTGTTCAACATAGCTAGAGAAGAAATAGTGAAAAAAATACAGAAGCATGGGAAATTGATTGAAACACTGAATGAACAATGCAGAAAACAAGCAGAATCCATGAAACAAATTCAAAGAGATATCCAGGAAACAAAAAACTCTATTGAACGCTGGTAAAACTGTTTAAATGAAGTTGAGGATAGAATTTCAGACCTTGAAGATAGGATTACAGATAGCAACTATGAAAACATAGAACTTATAAAAACAACAAAGCAACATGAAATGATAATCCAGTAGCTTCAAGACAATGCCAAGAGAAACAATATAAGACTAACAGGCATCAGTGAAGATGTAGGAATCAGTGCAAATGACATAACTAAACTATTCACAGAGGTAATAGCAGAAAATTTCCCACATATAGGGAAAAAATCTGATATACAAATAAGTGAGCAAACAGTCACAAACAACATAAATCTACACCCAGACATATAATAATTAAGATTACAGACATACAGCATAGAAACTGAACACTAAAAGCTATCAGAGAAAACACAGCTCACCTATCAAGGAAAATCTATTAGATTCACAGCAGACTTTTCAGCACAAATCTTCAAGTTAAGATGAGTGTGGAGTGAGGTGTTTCAAACCCTGAAAGAAAACAACTTTCAGCCCAGACTGATGTACCCAGAAAAACTGTCTTTCAAATTTAATGGAGAAATAAGATACTTCCATGACAAAGATAATGTAAAGTAATTCATGTTCACCAAACCAACCCTAGAAAGAGTACTGAAAGACATGCTAGATAGAGGTAAAAATGACCACACTCTCCAGAACAACAACAGAAATAAACCACCAGGCCAGACAAGAAAATAAACAAGGGAGAAAAGCTGGAAACCAGCAATAAGAACACAACATGGAAAAGTCAAGCCAGTACATATCAGTGATATCCACAAATGTAAATGGGCTCAAGTCCCCTATCAAAAGAAACAGGTTGACAAAATGGATCAACAAACATGATCCCACAATAGGCTGTATACAAGAAACACATCTGATCCAAAAGGAAACTCACAGATTAAAAGTCAAAGGATGGAAAACAGTATTCCCTGCAACAGGACCCCAGAAAAAATCAGTGGTAACTATTCTACTTGCAGACAATATGAACTTCAAGCCTAAAATGATTAAAAGAGATAAAGAAGGTCACTACATACTCATTAGTGGAAAAATTCAAAAGGAAGAACTCACAATCATAAATATATATGCACCAAATAGAACTGAATCATACCTGCAAATTGGACTTAGTAGATGTTTATAGTGTTCCGCCCAATCACATCAGAATACACATTCTTCTCAGCTGTGTATGGGACATTCTCTAAAATAAAGTATATATTATTCCATAAAACATTCTTAAGTAATTGCAAAGGTATTGAAATTATCCCATGTGTAATATCAGACTGTAGCACACTGAAATTGGAAATTAATGGCAAAAGAAATCTCAAAATCTGCATAAAGGTATGGAAATTAAATAACAACCTTTTGAACAACCAGTAGGCTACATTTGAAATTAAAGAAGAAATAAAGCAATAACTACAATTCAATGAAAATGTGAAAACAACATGTTGTAATCTGTGGGATGCCATGAAAGTGGTCTTAAGAGGGAAATATACAGCAATAAGTTGCCATATCAAGAAAACAGAATGAGCACAAATAAATAACATAATGCTTAATCTCAAGCTTCTATAAAAAGAAGAACAAGTTAAACCGAATGCTCATAGCAGTGGGCTGGGGATTTAGCTCAGCGGCATAAGTGCCTGCCTTGCAAGCAGGCAGTTGTGAGTTTGATCCCCGGTACCAATAAAAACAAAAAAGACAAAAAAAAAAAAAAAAAAAAAAAAAAAAAAAGAAAGCTCATAGAAGAGAGGAGTGTAAAGATTACAGCAGAAATCAATGCAATTGAAATAAAAAAACAATACAAAGAATTAATAATTAAAAAGCTGGGTTTTTTTTTTTTAGAGGATCAACAAAATTGACAAACTTCTAGCTAGCCTTATAAATAGCCTTATAAATAAAAAGAGAGAAATATCCCCAAATTCATGCAATAAGGACTGAAAATGGGGAAATTACTATAGATCCCTTGGAAATTCAAAAGATCATGAATACCTCCTTTGAAAATCTCTACTCACATAGAGTAGAAAATACAGAGAGAATGGACAGGTTTCTAGAAACATATGAACTTCAAAGCTCAACCAAGAAGATATAGTAATTTTGAATAACCTAATGTTAGTTATTGAAATTGAAAATGTAATTAAAACTTACCAACAAAAAAAGCCCAGGTCCTGATGGATACATGGCTGATTTCTACAAGAAATTCAGAGAAGATTTGATGCTAATACTCCTTAAACTCTTCAATGAAATTGAAAAGGAAGCAATCCTCTCTATGTCATTCCTGGAGGCAAGTATTATTCTCATACCAAAGCCAGAGAAAGACCCAACTAAACAGGAGAACTATAGGCCAGTCTCACTAATGAACATTGATGCAAAGATTCTCAATAAAATACTGGCAATAGAATGTAGCAAATCATCAAGAAGATTATGCATCACGACCAAGTGGGATTCATTCCAGGAATGAAGGGAGGATTTAACATACGTGAATCAATAAATGTAATATACCACATCAACAGAGCCACAAACGAAAACCACATAGTCATCTCAATAGATGCAGAAAAAGTTTTCGATAAAGTCCAACACATGGTCATGATAAAAACCCTTCAGAAACTCGGAATACATGGTGTCTACTTCAATCTGTGAATAAAGGCCATCTGTGACAAACCAAGAGCCAACATTATACTAAATAGACAAAACTGAAAGCTTTCACTTTAAAATCAAGAACAAGTCAAGGGTTGGGGGCTGGAGATTTAGCTCAGTGGCCTAAGCGCCTGCCTTGCAAGCAGGCAGTCGTGAGTTCAATCCCTCGTACCGATAAAAAGGAAAAAGACAAAAAAAAAAAAAAAAAAACCCAAAAAACCAAAAACCAAAACAAAACAAAACAAAACAAATAACAAGTCAAGGATGTCCACTACCACCACTCCTATTCAATATAGTTCTGGAAACACTAGCAATTGGACAGGAGAGAGAAATAAAGGAATAAAGAAAGGAAAGGAAGAAGTTATATTTGCAGATGACATGATACTCTAAATAGAAGACCCCAAAAATGCTGTTAAAAGACTACTAGAAGTAATAAACAAATTCAGCAGTATAGCTCGATACAAAGTCAACACTCAAAATCAATAGCATTCCTATACACGCAAAAAATATACTCACTGAGAGAAATTATGGAAATACCGCCTTCCACAATAACATTTAAAAAATGAAATACTTAGGAATCAACTTAACTAAGAATGTAAAAGACCTATGTGCTGAAAATTATGCTATGCTATAAAAGGAGATTGAAGAGGATATTAGAAAATAGAAAGATATTCCTTGTTTTTGGCTAGGAAGAACCAATATTGTGAAAATGGCCACACTCCGAAAACTGTTATACAGATTTAATACAATTCCAATCAAAGTACCATTAACATACCTCACAGATCTAAAGAAAACATTCCTAAAATTCATTTGGAAACTGAAGAAATCCAGAATAGCAAAGGCAATTCTGGGCAACAAAGGCAAGACAAGAGGCATCTTAATTCCTGACTTCAATCTATACTACAAAGCCACAGTGATAAAATCAGCAAAGAAATAGATCTGAGGATCAATGGAACAAATTAGAAGATGTAAGCACAACTACAAAGACACTCAGCCACCTGATATTTGACAAAGGTGCTAAACATGTTCACTGGAAGGATAGCCTCTTTAATAAATGGTGTTGAAAAAATTAGCTTTCCACATGCTGAAGACTGAAACTAGATCCATGGCTATCATCATGCACAAAACCAAAGTCTAAATGGATCAAAGACCCAAATATTAAAACATAAACACTAAATCTACTGGAAAACAAGGTAGGTAGGAATCTTGGAGATATAGGGGCAGGCAGAGAATTCATAAACAAAATTCAAACTGCACGGAAACACTTCAAAGAATCAACAACTGAGACCTCATATTATTGAAAAATTTCTGCACTTCAAAAGAAATCAACAACAAAGTGAAAATAAAACCCACATAATGGGAAAGAATTTTAGCCAGCAATCCCTCAGACAAAAGACTTACATCCAGAACATATAAAGAACTGAAAAACATCAAGCCCCAAATCCAAAGACCCTCTCCAAAAATTGGCATCTGAGATGAACACACAGTTCTTAGATGAAGATATACAAATGGCAAA